CAAGAAAACTCCTTGCCTCCACATGATGATTCACGTAAACTGGCGGATGAGTTCGGAAAATATTTCTGTCGAAAGATTGAGCTAATTAGAAATGACATTGAAAGCGTTGTAGTAGACCCACCATTAGTAAATTATCGTTTACCTGATATCAAATTAGACTCATTTAAGCTCCTGTCAGAAGAAGAAGTCCATAACATAATCATGAAGTCGTCGAATGCAACATGTAACCTTGATCCTATCCCAACATGGCTGCTGAAATTATGTGCCAGTGAGTTAACACCTGTCATTATGAAAATGATCAACTTGTCGTTAAGTGAAGGTCACGTCCCAGAAGCATGGAAAGTTGCCATTCTTATTCCAATTCTAAAAAAATACGGTCTTGATCTAGTCTTTGAGAACTTCAGGCCCGTCAGTAACCTGTCATTTGTTTCTAAAGCTACGGAAAAAGCAGTTGTTAGCCAGTTATTTGAGCATTGTGCTGATAATGCTCCTCTTCCTAACAACCAATCGTCATATCGTCAATTTCACTCTACCGAAACAGCTCTCCTAAGAGTCCACAATGATATCCTTATGAACATGGACCAACAGAAAGTAACTCTTTTAGTGCTCTTGGATTTGAGTGCCGCCTTTGACACCATTGATCATGAAATTCTGATGGATATATTGAAGTTAGAATTTGGTGTGATCGGTAATGCCTTAAAGTGGATTAAATCGTTTCTTTCCTGTACAAAGCAGCGTATTAATATTAAGCAAAAGTTTTCCGCCAATTTTACGTTGAACTGTGGAGTACCACAAGGAAGCTGTCTTGGACCGGTCCTTTTCCTATTATACGTGTCTCAACTGTTCCAGATTATTAACAGGCACTTACCTTCTTCCCATGGGTATGCAGATGACACTCAACTTTATTTATCTTTCCGTCCTGAGTCACCCGTTGTCCAAGACCAAGCTATTCAAACTATTAATAATTGCATCGTCGAAGTTCGTGCTTGGTTAGTTTTACATAAATTAATGTTCAATGACACTAAAACGGAATTCTTGATAATTGGAACTCGCCAGCAGCTGTCTAAGGTTACAATCGACTCGATTGAAGTTGGTGATGCTGATATAAAACCTGTACAAGAAGTCCGAAATCTAGGTTCGTGGTTTGACGAACATATGTCGATGAATGTCCATGTGGGCAAGGTTTGCAGCAAAGCATTTAGGGGCCTGTACAACATCCGACAAATAAGGAAGTTTCTCTCCATCGAATCAACTAAAACGCTCGTACATGCCTTTGTGACGTCACACTTGGACTACTGCAATTCTCTCTTGTTCGGCATTCCCCAATACCAACTTCAGCGTCTTCAACGAGTTCTCAATGCCGCTGCTAGAGTGACGTGTCTTATACCAAGATGTGCTCATATCACCCCTGTCCTGATGCACCTTCACTGGCTGCCTGTCAAGTTTCGCGTTGATTTTAAAATTGCACTTCTGGTATATAAAGCCCTCCACGGGATGGCGCCAGGCTACATTATGGAACTGTTGCTAGAAAAACCGAACTGCTGTTACCAACTGAGATCTGATGATCAGGGACTACTTTTTATCCCAAAAACTAGAGCCAAGACTCTTGGTGATCGAGCATTTGTGCATGCAGCTCCGTCAATTTGGAACATGCTACCTTCTGGTATTAGAAATAGTAAAACAATTGACTGTTTTAAATCTCAATTAAAGACTTTCCTTTTTAAGAAAGCTTTCGATTCTAACTTTTAGATTTATAGACACCTATACCTTAATTCTTAATATTTTAGCTACTTGTATATAGTATAACCTCATTGTTGTAAAGCGCTTTGGAATATTTTATATAATTTAAGCGCTGTATAAATCTTTATATATTATTATATTATGATAAGTGATCGTTGTTTTACTCGCGCTTTATTAATGATATGTGCCAACTGTGCTGTGTGTTCTAGTGTTCCTGAGAGTTTTGGAGTGAAACCTTTCTGTATGTTCTGTTCAATGAAATTGTTTTCTGCAAGAAACTGAAATGTCCTGTTGCGAAGACATGATTTGAAAACTTGGAGTGAGACAGATTCGAGAGTAATGGGTCGAAAGTTCGCTGGGTTTGCTGTTTCTCCTTTCTTATAAATTAGAATCGTGCATGCTTTCTTCCATTCAGACGGGACAACACCGCAAGACCAGGCTGCGTGGATTATCTCAGTTAAGTACGAGCGTAAATAAGGACAGCGTCTAAAACAGATGATAGATATTTGATCAAGTGGACATGGTGAGCCAGACGGTTTCATTTTACGGATGACATTTGTAATCTCTTGATAGGTCGGGGGGTCAAGATTAAAAGGCGTCTGGGGAGATGCAAATTTTGGGATCCAACTGGGGATGTTGAATGTTTTAATTGGGCTAATCGCGGACAATGTTTTGGTAAAATATGATGTACATTCTGCTAGGTTAAATGATGGAAATGAGCTAGTATTCTTTTTGAAAAATCGTTTAACGAAACCCCAGAAACTTTTACCAATTAGACTGTCGTGATCAATATTTGCAGACGCATGACTATCAGTGTTATTTGGGTCCGTAGTATTAGACTTATTAAGAAGGTTGCGCAGTTTCTTTGCGACAAACTTGATCTCCAAGATATCTCCGTTTTCTAATTTTAATTTCTTTAATGATTTTTTCAAACCTTTAGTTGAAAAGCTTTCATATAATAATAATAATAATAATAGTAATAATAATGATAATAATAATAATAATAATAATAATTTTTTAACAACAGAAATCTTTATTAATAGCATGATAATTTATACAAATATATAACATAATTAGACTTTCAATTAAATCAGGAAAATAGAGAAACAGTTCACTATATTAGACAGATAGGTCCATTCTCTACGCTTTAGATCAATAGTAGCTAATAAAAATTTAGTAAGTCTGGGTTATTCCACGGCTTGTTTCTTCTGCAGTAAATGTAGAAAGTTGCTCTCAAAGCTACCTCCATACATTTTTTAATAATACGTTCGTCGTTCATTTCAAGTGTTCGTAATGATCTACGAAATCTGTCCATATCTTTCGACACAAACCCTAGAGTGGTTACTTCAAGTGTAATAACTTCAAACGCATAACACGCCGTGATCAGCTCAGATCTTAGATGTCTGTATCTTTCTTGCTTGCGACGTTTAGCCTTCGTACAATTGGTTTCGTAGGGAACAGTTAATTCAACCACATATACAGAACCCTTAAAATCTGCCACTATATCAGGTCTTAGCGTTCGAAATAAAGTTGAAGTACAGGTCGTACCTGAATTAGGACAGTCCGCAAACAGTGGAAGATCTGCACCAACTACAACTTTTAAGTGATGAATAATAGTCATCGGAATCGAGTCATGCCGCCAAGTATAGCGTTGTTGTTCTAGGGCTACCTTACAGTTGGAAAAAAACGTGTAGCTGGGTTTGTAACTTGTTGCACAGCTCACAGTTGGCGGAGTCACGAATGTTCCAGCGCTTTAGGTTAGAATTATCTCTCAAACTTAAAATTAACGCTCTCCTAGCAAAGCATACTATATTGCTGGGCATTCGAGTGACAATTTCGTGCCATACTTTAATCATCTTCTTATAGCAAGTATCAGTAAAGCAGGTAATGATCACAGATTGTTCTTTTAGTTCTACAAAGTTTGACCAAATTTCGTTAAGGTTTTTCGTTACCAGAATTTTCTTTGCAGCGTTTCTTAACATATATTGTTCAGAGATAACAGCAGCCGCCCGTTCAATAATATCATCAGTGACGATGTTTTTTGATGACGTTTTGGTATATAGCTGTTGAATATCGGAGTTGAAAGAAGTCCTCAAGATTCTGCGCACTGTCAGTTTACATTGATTATATATGTCAGAGGGGGAACAGAAATCAATTCCCAGTTGTAATTTAGGAAGCTTTAGATGACTAATGTTACCGCTGATTGGGATCTGGAGCCATTTCCGGATATATTTGGAAATTATACAGTCCAAATTAGAATGTATCCAGCTTATAGTAAGCGGATAGATTGAAAAACGCCAGAAGAACTTTGAGTAGACATAACTCTGAACCACGCGTATTTTGGAAAAAGGATTTATTGGGATAAGATCAATTTTCTTTAAGTAGTGTTGGATTTCATCAAGGATCTCAATTTTGGTTTCGGTACAATCCATTTCAAAATTGAATTGTTTACCTAAATACATAAAACTTTCACCGTCCTCGATTGGGGGAACCTGTTGACCAGAGATTTTTATAGTAGGTTTATACTGGACTGCTTTTGTCCCAAACTTTTTGATCCCAAAAGTGTGGCACTTATTTACTCGGATATATAAGTCTGCCCAAGAGGACCATTTACTAAATGCATTACACAGTAGTTGATTGTCTTCGTTATGTGCAGATATAATTGCAGCATCGTCCGCAAATTGGAACCAATGACGAAGATTTAAGGATATATCATTAACATAACCAAGGCACTGTATCCTTTCATCATTTATCGTGTTAATGAGTGAATTCACGCATAAATTGAAAAGCAAGGGGGACAAACAGTCTCCCTGCAGTACGCCCCATTCTACAGATATCGGTATGGTTATAAAATTCTTCGTCAAGATTGAGATACCATAATCAGTGTAAAAGTTTTCTATTATATCAGTGCTTTCGTCAGGAATGTGGTGACTTTTTAAAATAGATTTTATCAGGTTATGGTGCACTTCTCCAAATGCGTTTTTGAGATCGATTAGAGTGACAATGATAGACCGCTGCTTGTTGCGGGAGTGGTTTAATAAATAGTTTAACAGTTTGGTATGTTCAACTGTACCAGACAAGCCTGGCCAGAAACCCTTTTGAATGTTTGTTTCGATATATTTATTATCGCGCACGAATTTGAAAATTTTGTTCCTTATCGCAGAGGTGAAAACTTTCAACATGACTCGCTCTAAAACAATTGGGCGAAAATTAGCAGGATTATCAGGTGAATAGGCCCTTTTGAAGGTCTCAAAAATTTGATGAACGAATTGACCGGCAAAGAAACAAAATGGTCGTCTCCCGGCGGCTATTGTAAGTTGCTTAAGCTGAATGAAGTTGCTGTAAGATGGTATTCAGATAGTAACTCACTTACAATTAATGGAAAGTCGTGTGATGAGTTTAAGACTCAACTTATTCATCTCAACAAACAGCTACAGTTAGAATCCGAAGACACAAATGCTGCCTGTGTCTCTGGTAATAGCGAAATATCAATCAACTTTGATGAGGAAGCAGCAAGTAACGAAAGCGAGAATCAAATTTCCACCGGTCAGTTAAACGAGTATGAATCATTGCTTAATACCGTAAGAAGCCTTGAGGCGAAGTTGGAAAGTAGGATAAATGATCTCGCAAGCGAAGTGCACGAGACTAGACTAGAATTACATGTCGAGAAAATTGCGCGAGGGAACCTAGAAGCTGAATACACAGAACTTGCAAGCGAAGCTCTGGAAATAAGATCAGAATTAGATATCAGGAACCTCACAAGAGACGAGAACGAAACATCAAGCCTCGTGACGAATCAATATCTACAATAATTACACCAACACAGCAGATTTCAATATCTACGGTTCTTAATAAGGTATTTCTCGTTAAAGAGAACGCTAGTCTTAAAGATGAAAATGCTTTACTTAAACAGCAGATTAACAACTACAAATGTATTACATCGGACTTGAGAACAAAGGTCAAAGATTTAGAAAATGAAAAAGACAGCTTGGTCACCGTCATTAAAATTCTACATGATGATCAAAATCAACATACTTGTCATGCTAATAAATCTATAGCGTCTTGGAATGTTGTAAACAATCATAAAAGGTCTCAGATTGGCCGTGGTTCCTTAAAGAATTATTCTACAATTGGTCCCAGTGGTGACATCAGGGACAAAGATGGTGCAACTCGGATAAAAAATCAATATATTGTCTTGAGTGATGATATCGACAACAGTGAAGCTAGTGAGGACGACAGCGTCATCTTAAAGTCTACACAGGCTCCCCAGAATAAAGAAATCCAGGACACTAGCAAAGAACGACCCAAATTTCCAAAACATGGCTGTGTTGCTGAAATTCCTAACACGACAAAAACAAAAGAGAAATTAAGCCTTCAACAAAAGGGCTTTGGTAAGAATCAAATGAGCGAATCTGATGACAAAGCTGCTCAATCGAAAGCCAACAAGCAGGGGTCACAGCAAATTAACCAGGAACAAAAGAAGAATAAGAATAAGAAACAAAAGGTGAAGAATAACGAACAAAAGGCAAAGGAAAACGAGCAAACGAGAGAAGCGCATAAGGCAAGTGAGGAAATAACAGCAGAAAGAAAACGCACTAAAGAAACGGTCGTTATAGCTGGAGATTCGATTATAAAATATGTAAAAGTTGGGAAGTATCCAACACTGACAGAAACGTAATAGTTAAGTCTTTCTCAGGTGCAACAGTTAATGATATGTCTGATTTCTTAAAGCCCACTGCACGAAAGCAACCCGATAAGCTCATTATCCATGCAGGCACAAACGACATACGCTATTCAAGTCCTAAAGAAATTGCAAAGAAAATTATCGAGTTAGCAGAGAATTTTAAAAAGGATTGCAATGATACTGAAGTCATCATCTCTTCTTTAGTCACTAGATGCGATAGAGAGGAACTTACAACGAAGGTAAATGAAACTAACAATATATTAAAGTCAAGCTGCTTGAAGAAAAAGCTTGCATTTTTAGACAATAGTAATATTAGTCGCTCTCATTTAAATAGTAGAGGACTGCATTTAAACCGAGAAGGTAGCTCTTTGCTTCAGGCAAACTTTTCATATTTCTTAAGTTCGCATAATTGAAATGAGGACGGGTCGAGGAGGAGTGCTAATGATGCCTGTTTAAATATTCCGAAAACAAGGGGTTTTAAGATGGCTATGCTTAATGTAGTTAGCCTTCCGAAACACCTTGATGAAATCCGATTATTACTTCACGATAAATATTTAGATGTTTTAGCAGTTAATGAAACCCGTTTGGACTCCACTATTTCCGATGGGATTGTTAGCATTGAAGGTTATGACTTGCTACGTGCTGATCGGAATAGAAATGGAGGAGGGGTATGTATTTATATAAGACGCCATATAAATTATGAAAATCGCCCTGATCTAGGTCCAACAGACCTTGAAGCTGTCTGTGTGGAAATTAAGCAGGCTAATAGTCAATCTTTTATAGTTTCAAGTATTTATAGACCACCATGTTCCGCTAGTGAAGTGTTTATAAAAATTGAGAGGCTAATCAAATCAATCGATGATGAAAATATAGAATTTTATATTTTGGGAGATTTAAATTGTAATATGCTAGAACCAACTTTGTCCACCACTAGAAAGCTTCAAGACGTTTTGGAATTATATCAGCTTACACAATTAATTAATAACCCTACGCGTATTACCCAGTCTAGCCAATCATTATTGGATGTAGTAATTGCGTCAATGCCTGAAAAAATAATTTTTTCAGGTGTAGTCCATCTCGGAATTAGTGATCACAGCCTCATTTATAGTATTCGGAAAATAAGCACAAGAATAAAAACTGATTTACAAGGTTCTGTCGAGTATAGAAATTTTAAGAATTTCAATGTTTCAGGCTTTCTATATGACTTACAAAATATACCTTGGGAAGAAATAAGATTTAAAAGAAATGTAGATGAAATGTGGCGGTTATGGAAAACATTTTTTGTAGATGTGCTGGATAAACATGCCCCTGTGAGAGTAAAAAGATTAAGAAAAGGGGGCAATATTCCTTGGGTAAGCCGGGAAGTAAAGGAAAAATTATTTAAAAGAGATGCTCTTAAGCGTAAAGCAATAAAGACAAATAAAGAAGAAGACTGGAGACTATATAAGTCATCTAGAAATGTTGCCAACACTGCTTTGCGCAGTGCTAAAAGAGATTATTATGCAAACAAATTCACAAATAATAAACAGAATCCTAAATATGCTTGGAGAACAATAAACGATATATTAGGTCGAAACAGAAAACAGACTACGATTAATGAAATTAAACTTCCAGGTAAAACTGTTACATCGACCGACGAATTAGTCGACATTTTTAATGATCATTTTAGTAATATTGGCCCAAAGCTTGCTGAGTCTATTCCAAATGACAATGACGTTAGTTTTCGAGATTTTATTACTCAACAAAAATCTAAGACAAAGAACAGTTTCTCATTTTGACCAGTGAGTGTAACATTGGTTTACACTCTTCTAGTTAATTTGTCTACCACCAAAGCGACTGGAATGGATAAAATTTCAGCTCAAATTCTACAAGTAGCAGCTCCAGTTATTGCACCTTCTCTTACTGAGATTTTTAATATGTCAATTGACTCGGATCAATTTCCTTCTGATTGGAAAGCTGCAATGTTATTCCATTGTTTAAGAAAGGTCAGCGGTCCATGTTGGACAACTACAGACCGATATCAATCCTTCCTGTAGTAAGTAAACTTATGAAAAGAATTATGTATGATCAAATGTATGAGTATCTTAACCAGAATAATCTTTTCTCAAAACACCAATTTGGTTTCAGACCTTATCATTCCACAACTACTACATTATTGGATTGTACGAACGAATGGTATACCAACATGGACCGTGGGCTGTATAACTTAGTTGTTTTTCTTGACCTAAAAAAAGCATTGGATACAGTCGACCACGAAATACTGTTAAGTAAGTTTGAAATGTATGGTTTCCAAAGGAAAGCATTAAATCTTTTACGTTGCTATTTGACGCACCGAACTCAAAGTTGTCAATTGGCCAGTATACTCTCGCTGGAGAAAGAAATCATTTGTGGCATTCCTCAGGGAAGTATACTCGGCCCTCTCTTATTTATTATGTATATAAATGATTTGCCAAGCTGCCTAGAACGCTCAACTCCAAGAATGTTTGCTGATGATACTAACTTAACGGCAATAGGCAGAACAATTAGTGAGGCGGAAGAGAGGGCGAGCGTAGACATGAGGAATGTTCAGAAATGGCTTTGTGCAAATAAACTAAGTCTAAATATAGCGAAAACCGAGTATGTTTTAATTGGAACACGACATAAAATAAGTAATATTGATACCCATCAAGGAGTTAAAATAAATAATCAATTGATTAAAAAAATTAAAAATACCAAAGCTCTTGGAGTTGAATTAGACGAAAACTTGAGTTAGGAAAAACACATTAACCATATTAGCGGTAAAATATCATCAGGTATATATTGGGGCTATTAGAAAAATGAGGGAGTATGTCGAACAAGACATTTTGATAAAAGTTTATAATGCCTTAATCCAACCTTATTTTGATTATTGCTGTGAAGTATGGGATACACTTAATAAAGGCCTAAGCGAACGTCTACAGAAATTCCAAAACAGAGCGGCTAGGTTGATCATGAACTTAAAAAATGAACATGGTCAGTCTATTTTGGCGCGAAAATCTCTAGGCTGGGTAACACTTGAAGAGCGTAGGGCACAAATGAAAGCCAGGCTTATGCACAAGACAGTTAATGGTTTAGCCCCCCAACGACTATGTGAAGCTTTCCAAAATCTGAATACCATTTATGACCATAATCTGAGAGGTTCTTCAACAAGGTTTTATATTCCAAGACCAAAAACGGAATCCTTAAAAAAAAGCTTCCAATATAGTGGGGCTAAACTATGGAATCAGATACCTGAAGAGATACGCAATTCGGTATCGTATAATTCGTTCTGTAAAAAGCTATCTTCCTCGACCTTAATCTCGACTTAAAGTAGTAGTTAATTTTTTGTCTAAATAGGTATATAATTGTATTTGTTATGTATGTAATATTAGAGCTAGTATATAAATAATAATTTGTAAGTACACATCCCTTTTGGAAATCAGCTTTTGCTGAAAAGGCCAATGTGTTTAAATAAAGTTGATCTATCTAATCCTTTTTGTAAATGAGTACCGCAACAGCACGTTTCTAGATAGTCGAAAAATATTTTTCGGTCCAGCATTTCGAGAGGAGTCTCCAAAGCTGTGTTCTCAGGATGGGGCACCGTTTAAAAAGAATAATACTTATTTGGTCAATAGGGCAAGGAGAACCACTACTTTTCATTTTCCGAATTATTTTTGTTATTTCTTGGTAAGTTGGACATTCCAGGTCGAAATTGTTCGATGCCACTGGAAATGGTTTCAGCCAAGAGGGAAGGTTAAATGTTCGGTTTTTATGCTTTTCGAAGAAAATATTTCTAAAATAATCATAGCAGGACGATTCGTCAAAGTTTGGTTCTTGTTCTTTGGTTTTTATTCTTCAAACTCTTTTTTACAAAATTTCCAAAAATCTTTACTTAATTCTTCTTCATAACTACGCTGAACATGTGACCGCAATTTCTTCCGCAACAATCTATTGACATATTTTTTTTCTTCCAGTTTGCCGTTCTGAAGTTTAAGGTTTCTGAGGCATTTCTTTAGCTTTGATTTTGACATATTATTGTAGTGATTGAATTCGTTTCTAGCTTTAACTTGGCCATAATTGGCACTAAAATACGCCCACATAGTTCTATTCAGGTGATCGATTTCCATATTCAAATTTCCTAGTTTCCTTGAAGTGTCTATCTGCATACGAAAATATTCGTTTGCCCTGTCCCATTCAGATTTCGACCGTGGGAGTTTTACTCCCACTAACAGCGATGGTTTTTGACTTGGAAAAATAGCACTAGGCATTTCGGTCAAAACTTCGCCCTCTACGTTCAAATTAGGGTTGTTCACTTCATAATAATACTATTATTAATAATAATGGAAACTTTATTGAAATTATATACGTATATATACAATTATAAATCTCACTAATTTAGGTAATTTATAATTGACTACTGAACCTGCTTAATATTTATATATTAATGAGTATCCTTAAATGTTCAGTAATTCCGGATTTAACCAGTCCTTATCTCTGCAACAAAATATATAATATGTTGTCCTAATCGCGATAGACATAATTTTCCTGATAGCGAAATATAATACTAATAATAATAATAATAATAATAATAATAATAATAATAATAATAATAATAATAATAATAATAATAATAATAATAATAATAATAATAATAATAATAATAATAATAATAATAATAATAATAATAATAATAGTAATCCCCGAGCCGACGGCGCGAAGCGCCGTGCGAGGGTACTAGTTCCCCCCGGCTATTTACACCCGGGGAAACGAAAGCATTAGCCAAGTCAAAAGTTCATCAATGAGCGCGGGCGTGGGTTACCGTGAGTGGTTCGGTGGTTGGTTCGGTGGGTGGTCATCCTCACTGATCTCAAAAATATGGCGGACTGTCATGAATTTAAAGTTTGCATTATAACGACTGTCGACTGTATGACGACAGCGAAATAGCAAACATTTCTTGATTTAATGATTGATAAATTTCTTGCAAATATAATTAATTTTTGCACGCATTTTTGCAAGATTTTGTAAATTTCAAGAAAGAAAGGGTGAAAGAATCGGCTAAAAGAAGGGAACCGACGTCAACAAAGGTAATTTTGTTTTAAATGTTGATTTTATAATTGCTTTAAAACCCGATGGCCGCTTTGGCCCTTTGGCTTTGCGTATATGAAACCATTGGAAGCCCAACAATCATTGTTTTGTAATTTGTTTCTGTTCAATAGAAATGAATGTTTTGTTGAACAGAAATGAATTAATAACACTGATTGTTGGGCCACCTATGATGAAACAACTAAACAAGACAGCGTATAATTTCAGTGTATAAATAATATTGATTCCCTTTTTTATTAGGCCTATATTGAATTTTTTAAATAAAAAAAAAGCAAAGTTATTTGCATGCGAGAGTTTGAAATCATTTTATTGCAAACTCAAAGTTTATCGATAAAGCAATTTTAAGAATTAAAGGCAGTTTTAATAGTTTTATAAAGAACATTTTAAAACGTTTTGCGAAGCTTTTGTGCTTGAATTTTACCTTAAATTGAAGCTTATATTACGTATAATAACATACCTAACATATATATGTTGGGAAATTGATAATTTTGTAATTAAAAGTGATATTTTTAGGCGATTTTTCAATTGTAAGAATATTCTTTAAAAAGTTCAGAAAATACAATAGTAATAGTAATAGTAATAGTAATATTAATAGTAATAGTAATAATAATAATATTTTTTTTAATAATAATAATACAACTTTATTCATCATTTCATTATATACAATAATGCTTTTGTTATCAATGACTATATTATATAATCTGTTCTTTGGGTATAATTAAAAAAGTGTCTAAATGTTTGTTGATATCTACAGTTAAATTTTAAAAACAAACTCTACCGCTACATAATTAAAATATTTACCGCTAAGTAGCTAAATAATTAATCTAACATATTCCGCTAAATAACTAAACAACTAAACTTTGTATATGTACAATCTAAAATGTTTGAGAGATAGCACTCTCGGCGTTGTCAATGTTGTAATCAATGTTCTTAATATCATACATAATTTTCCTTGCTCTTGAATCCTTCAAGCAGGTAAGTGCCGATCTCAATAAAGCGAATGAGGTTCTGGCTCTAAACCAACTGATAGTTGTCGCATAATCTTCACCTTTCTTTATGGCTACCAACTCTGCCAATCGACTATGGTATCTCACACATTCTTTGCCCATACAGACTGTGATGGTGAATACGAGTGGCGTAAATGTTCCTTGCTCTATTTCAAGGACTCTCCTTGCATATAGGCGCTTCTTCTCGTTTTCGTGTATCTTGTATACTTGGCGTAGCACCACGTCCTTGTACGAATCAGCATTGGGGTGACAAACCCTTACTTCAAAAAAGCCTGATCGTTAACTTTCCCAGAACCCACGCGCACGAATGTCGAGTCTAGCATCAGGTGCTCTGTTGGAGCCTCAATTTAGTTCCTCTCCCGAGATGTCTTGTAGGACAGGCTCAACTTGGACGTCACTACAGGCAATGTTGAGGAGTTCCACTTCCAGATCTCTTAACTCATTGTGGAGCATAATTACAAAGCCTCCACGTTTGCAGATCATGGCATGGTCAACCGTGAAGGTATCCCCACATACACATAATAATAATGTAAACACATTTTATTTCATTTCATACAAATATTAGTAACCAGCTCTCACTAAAGTATTATAGGCAACCTGGCTACATTATGGTACAAAAGATTAAGAAAAGAATACAATGTTAAACTAAGCTTAAAAAATTTACAAATCATCTAAATGGAAGTCCCTTCTGACACTAGATATGTACGCTGCTAGGTGTTTCAGCACTGAATTGTGTCTCCATGTGTATCGACCTTCGTCCAGGGATGTTTTGCAAGAAGACACTATATGTTGTAGTGTTTGCACATTCAAGCAGAAATGACACAGATTATTTTGAGCTTTCTTCCACAAAACCATGTTTGTTAATGTAGGTAAGGTGTTATTTAAATATCTATAGTTACGAAGTTGTATATGTTTTTAGGGAGTTTGTCAACTGCCGAGTGCCAATCTTTTGCTGTACCCTGGAAAGCATCTCTAATAATAATAATAATAATAATAATAATAATAATAATAATAATAATAATAATAATAATAATAATAATAATAATAATAATAATAATAATAATAATAATGAAAACTTTATTAATAGAACATTTATAGATATATACAATTGTAAATCTCACTTCTTGAGGTAACCTACAATTGACTACTTGAATCACTTATACATGCATGGTTATAATTTTATATACAAAAATTGCTACTTATTTATAGAAATAGTTACTTTAAATGTTCATTAGTTCGGGATTTGTCCATTCTTTATTTCTACAGCAAAATATGTAGTACGTTGATCGGATGGCAATAGATATAATTTTTCTGATACAATATTGTTGGTGTTGATTATCCAGTCCTAACTCATTTAGCATTTTTACGAATGTATGACATTCTTTGTCAAACACCCCTAGCGAACTGACAGAAAGATTTATAAATTTAACTAATGTAAAGTTTTGATCCAGTTCTCTAATTAGGTTTTTATATTTAGCTTTCTTGCGGTTAACATTGTTTGTGAGGTTTGATTCAAAGCCTACGGTAAGTTCAACAACGTAGAGGTGTTTGTCTGAAGTAGAGACAAGTAAATCAGGACGATATTCATCTCCCGTAATAATCGAGGGGCTTTCAAATCCAGGAAGATCAACATGTAATTTGCATTCGTTTAAACTTTGAAAAGTTTTTGCAAGAAAGTTTAGTATGCAATCGTGTCTCCAAGTAAATCGTTTCAAGTAATGTTGACAACCGGCAACAACGTGTAGAAGTGATTCAGGGTGTAAGCAGAACGAGCAGTCAGAACTTGATGAAATTCCCCATCTACTGAGGTTCTTTCGGGTAGGAAGGGTATTATTTATATAACGAATTGTAAAGTTGAAAATGTTCTTTGGTAGCTTTGGTTGCGATACCGACCAGATTGCGTTAAGTTGTGATAGGGAGAATTTAGAAACATTTTCGAAAAAGGAACCTTGACATTTCAAATGGTTCCTAAGTTTATTTTCTTGTTGAGAATGGAAAGTTTTTAAAACTTCTTTAGTTGAGTTGTAGCTATCGTATTGAATGTTAGTATGATTATTAGTTGACTTCCACAGTTCGTTTATTGAATCGTTTGGAGATGTTTTTAGGGCGTTGCGTAGAACTGTTTGACACTGAATGAATTTGACTGATGCAGGGAGGATATTTAGACCAAACTTATTATGGGTTAGAAAAACATTACTCAGTGTTCCAGATATAGGTACTTCCAGCCATTTTCGGATGTACTTGTTCACCGAAGAATCGATATTTTCGACTACCCAAGTTTTAGATATCGTAGCAACAGTAAAATGCCAGGATAGCTTGGACAAAACATAATAATAATAATAATAATAATAATAATAATAATAATAATAATAATAATAATAATAATAATAATAATAATGGAAACTTTATTTTGACATTTTATGTATATACAATTATAAATCTCACTAATTAAGGTAATTTATAATTGACTACTTGAACTATTAATTATTGATAAAACTATATTACAGGTATAAAACTAAGAGAAAGCTCATTCTTAAATGTTCATCAAGTCCGGATCGGACCAATCCTTGTTTCTACAACAAAATATATAGTACGTTGTTCTGATGGCGATGGACATTATTTTCTTAACACAAAAGTTCTGATGTTTTTTATCAAGACCAACTTCGATCAACATTTTTATAAACGTGCTACATTCTTTTGAGAAAGGCACTAATAGACAAATTAATAAATTTGACAGGTTTGAAATGGTCTTTCTGCTGCGTAATTAGATCCTTGTATCTTTCACTTTTGCGATCGACGTTGTTTTGGAGATTGGATTCATATCCGACAGAGAGTTCGAGTATGTACAGACAATCATTTGAAATCGAAAGAAGCAGATCTGGGCGATAAGTGTCACCGGTTATTATTGATGGGCTCTTGTATCCAGGAAAATCAATAAATAGCGTGGAGTTGTGTTCAGGTTGGAATATTTTTGCGACAAAATTGAGAATGGAGTCATGTCTCCAAGTAAATCGTGGAAGGTATGACTGGCATCCCGCGACTACATGCAGAAGGGTTTCAGGGTTTAGGCAGAGCGAACAATCCGAGTTTGACATTATTCCCCATTTTGTGAGGTTTTTGCGTGTGGGAAGAGTGTTGTTGATGTAACGGATGGTGAAGTTATAGATGCTTTTTGGCAAGCTGGATTGAGATTTGGACCATAGGTTGTTTAGTGTAGACAACGAGAACTTGGTGGTGTTAGAGAAAAAGGAGCCTTGGAGAAGCAGATGATTTTGAAGCTTGTCCTCTTGTGCAGATTTGAAACTTTTAAGAACTTCCTTTGTTGAGGTGTAGACGTCGTACTGTATGTTAGTATTGTTGCAAGTTGATTTCCATAAATTTCTTATACAATCATTTGGAGAGGTTTTTAAGGCTTTACGAGAGACTGTTTGGCACTGAGTGAACTTGACGGATGGAGGGTATATATTTAGTCCAAATTTATTACTTGTGAGGAAGACATTACTTAAAGTTCCAGATACGGGTATTTCAAGCCATTTCCGTAGGAATTTATTAACTACTGAGTCAATGTTTTCAGAAACCCACGTTTTTGATAAGGTAGCGACAGTAAAATGCCAGGAGAATTTCGATAGGAGATAACGACTATAGAGTAACATTTTGTTCTTTGGGTGTAGCGGTTTGAGGTCAATTTCTGACATGATATCTTCAAGGAGGGTGATTAGTTCTTGTTTGTGATCTTTGTCAGACATATTGAAATCAAAATATTTCCCTAAGTATCGGAAAGACTCCTATTTTAGTGGCCGGTATTAATTTATTGTCAATGAGGAGTCTTGGTAGGTATTGGATTGATTTTGTCAGACTTTTCTTAATGCCAAATGTACTACATTTGTCGACTCGAGTAATCATGTTTGACCATTGACACCAGATTGAGAAGCGATTTAAAAGGTGCTGATTTTCGCTCTCTTGACCGCTAATAACGGCTGCATCGTCAGCAAACTGGAACCAATGGATTGGATTTAAAAAGAATAATAATAATAATAATAATAATAATAATAATAATAATAATAATAATAATAATAATAATAATAATAAAAATAATAATAAAAATAATAATAAAAATAATAATAATAATATAATAATAATAATAAAAATAAAAATAAAAATAATAATAATAATAATAATAATAATAATAATAATAATAATAATAATAATAATAATAATAATAATAACCCCTAGCGAACTGACAGAAAGATTTATAAATTTAACAGGTGTAAACTTTTAATCCAGTTCTCTAATTAGGTTTTTATATTTAGATTTCTTGCGGTTAACATTGTTCGCGAGGTTTGATTCAAAGCCTACGGTAAGTTCAACAACGTGGAGGTGTTTGTCTGAAGTGGAGACAAGTAATTCAGGACGATATTCATCTCCCGTAATAATCGAGGGGGCTTTCAAATCCAGGAAGATCGACATATAATTTGCATTCGTTAAATTAAACTTTGAAAATTTTTTGCAAGAAAGTTTAGTATGCAATCGTTTCTCCAAGTAAATCGTTCCAAGTAATGTTGACAACCGGCAACAACGTGTAGAAGTGATTCAGGGTGTAAGAAGAACGAGCAGTCAGAACTTGATAAAATTCCCCATCTACTGAGGTTCTTTCGGGTAGAAAGGGTATTATTTGTATAGCGAATTGCAAAGTTGAAAATGTTCTTTGGTTACTTTGATTGCGATACCGACCAGATTGCGTTAAGTTGTGATAGCGAGAATTTAGAAACATTTTCGAAAAAGGAACCTTGACATTTCAAATGGTTCCTAAGTTTATTTTCTTGTTGAGAATGGAAAGTTTTTAAAACTTCTTTAGTTGAGTCGTAGCTATCGTATTGAATGTTAGTATGATTATTAGTTGACTTCTAGAGTTCGTTTATTGAATCGTTTGGAGATATTTTTAGGGCATTGCGTAGAACTGTTTGACTCTGAATGAATTTGACTGATACAGGGAGGATATTTAGACCAAACTTATTACGGGTTAGAAAAACGTTACTTAGTGTTCCAGATATAGGTACTTCCAGCCATTTTCGGATGTACTTGTTCACCGAAGAATCGATATTTTCGACTACCCAAGTTTTAGATATCGTACCAACAGTAAAATGCCAAGATAGCTTCGACAAAACATAACGACTGTAAAGTAAAATTTTGTTTTTTTGGGTGAAGAGGTTTAAGATCTATCTCGGACATTATTTCATCAATGAGGAAAATAAGTTTAGATTTATGTTTTTCATTAGTCATGTTAAAGTCGAAGCATCGTCCCAAATACTCAAATGATTCTCCAGTCTTAATCGTTGGTAGAGATCCTTATTGATCAAAAGCTTCGGCAGGTATTTGGCAGATTTTGATAAAACGTTTTTGAAACCAAATATGTGCTACATTTATCAACTTTAACAACCATGTTGGACCATTGACACCAGATAGAAAATCGATTAAGGAGATCTTGATTTTCCGAATCTTGACCAGTAATAACCGGAGCACCATCGACAAACTAAAACCAGTGGATTGGATTAAGAAGTTGGAGAGAGAAACCGAACTGACGGTACTTTTCATCTTTGAAATGCTGAATATATGTCTTGGAACACAAATTAAATAGTAGAGGACTAAGACAGTCACCTTGCAATACACCACTGCCAACAAATATAAAATGGGTACGGAACTCAGATGTAATTACGGAAGTTTTAAAATCAGTGTATAAGCTTTTTATTAAATTATTCATGTGTTAGGGATGTGATGAAAGCCAAGGACAGGTTGAATTAAGTTGTGATGAACTTCTCCAAAAGCGTTTTTAGGTCAAGTAGCTAGTATGATGACAAGTGAACATTGTTTTATCCGAGCTTTGTTCATTATATTAGCCATTTGCGCAGTATATGTTCCATAGTACCAGACAGGTTTGGGGTGAAGCCTTTTTGTATGTTATGTTCTATAATAATAATAATAATACTAATAATAATAATGGCAGGTATTTTTTGCGTTTTCGATCTGAGTTAGAGTTAAGATTTGTTTCAAAGCTAACAGCCAGTTCCATTTGCCAAGAGAAGGTCTGGACGTAACTGATCACCAGTGATAACTGACGGAGTAATAAAGCCAGCCATATCTACGTACAGTTTAGATCGCTCGGCACTCATAAGGCTGGATACAATGAAGTTCAGCACTGAATTATGCCGCCAGGTAAATTGGCCTTCATCTAGATATGCTTTACAACCAGAGATGACGTGCAGGAGTGACTCAGGAGAAGAGCAAAACGAACAATCGCCAGACGATGACGTACAGACCCCATTTGACCAGGTTTTCCGAGGAGGGAGGGAGTTGGTGATATAAATGACATTGAAATTAAATAATTATATTCTTAGGAAGTCTGGATTGAACAAATGATCATCAGGATTTGAATGATGACGTGGAGTTTTTGATGATACTTGAGAAGAAAGAACCTTGTGAGATCAGGTGGTTTTGTAGTCTTTGTTTATTTTCATTCCTAAAGGCTTTCAAGACATCCTTCGTGTTGTTACAGTACTGTCCAGAAATAACCTAACAGTGCGGTTGCGGTTAGGTCGCGGTTAGGTCGCGGTTAGGTCGCGGTTAGGTTGCGGTTAGGTTGCGGTTAGGTCGCGGTTAGGTTGAGGTTAGGTCGCGGTTAGGTCGCGGTTAGGTTGAGGTTAGGTCGCGGTTAGGTTGAGGTTAGGTTGAGGTTAGGTTGAGGTTAGGTTGAGGTGAGGTTAGGTTGAGGTTAGGTTGAGGTTAGGTTGAGGTTCGATTGCGGTTCAGTCGCGGTTAGGTTGATGTTAGGTTGAGGTTCGGTCGAGTTTGACCGGTTGAAACCGCAAGCGAAACCTCAAATTAGAAATGCGATCGCTTACCGTCAATTTCCGAGTGCAGTGGTATTACGAGTTTTACTAATGCCGCAATGGCAAATTGGCAATACCTTGACTGTGTAGAATTGACGGGTGATGAGTTTTACTGTAATACCGGTTTTCAAAAGATGTGAACGGATCTTGGATTGTCAACTAAAATAAGCCTGTTAAACCTTTCAATAAACCGGGACATAATTAAGCTCCGCGAACTAAATTTATAAACAGAACGAGTGTGATGCCAGGATTGTCACTACGGTGCATACATACTGTATACTGACGCTTAAGTTCCATACAGTTCGTATATATTATACTGTGTGTCGCCCACTGATCTAGTGGTGTCGCCTAATCGAATTATATACGTGGCGCTAAGGCTTTGCTTGTTATTTTATGACCTTTTATGATAGCGTCCATGTATGATGTAGCTACAGTATTTTGAAGCAAAGGCCGCGAAAAGCTAAGCAAAATTGATCACTATACGTCACCAACGAAGCACTTTCGCCTATAAAATGTTAGGAATATTTCACTTATGTCTAATGACAGAACCTTTTACTTTTTAAGAAGTATAGTACTATAGTTATACAGTAAATACTAGCCGATTTCCGTGGGCCAGTCGCAAACTAATGCAGAAAAAATGTAAATCTAAGCGAAGTGATTTTATTTCTATAGTAATCTGACAATTCTGATTCTACAGGTACTAATCTTGAGCCGTTGCAACAAAAGACATATACACGCGGTAGTAAGTCTATTAATTAAAGAGTAATAAAAGTGCAACCAGTGATTTTGATTCTATATTTCAATACAAAACTATAGTAATCTGATTCTACCAATAGATTACTGTAGTTACTGCAGTGTATAGCGGAAGACATTCTATATACTGAACTGACTATTGCCGTATATAGGGTACTGACTTTTACAGTATATACGGTACTGACTGTTGCCGCCATATATAAATCTAAAGCGCATTGATTTTTATATTAGCCAAGCATTGTTAATTCCACATTTCAAATATATTGCGTCCAGTCATGTGCTGCCACTGGATGCCGATTATAATTATATGAAATATAGTATGCAGCTCAAATGTCGAAATAAAAAGCTTAGCTTTATCGCAGACACTGTTGTCATATTGCATGCATTTTATTAAAATACTCAGACCTCAGCCCGGTATCATATCTGCAGTGGTACCCATAAGACTCTAGCTTATATCCATCTATGTTTATATCCCATAACACATAAGGACTTATTAACAGTATATATCATACCTTTTTGAAGCTTTTTCTCTGTAATCCTTGTCAGTTGGCAAGATCCAAGTATGCGATGGACCGATTTCCATGTCTGCTCAACACGCTATAGTGCATGCATGACCACCGTCGCCACAAATTAGTAAATGTGCCACATTGACCATATGATTCGTCAAGGTTTATGAATTATTGGTCACGATACTCAAGCTTGGTCGTTTCCTATCCATATCGAAAGCATCGAATTTTCGTTTTCCAAGTTTTATATACTCTTGCTAATAGTTTATGTCCCGGAAAACATTCGGCAAAAGGTTCTGCCTTGATTTATAGTCGTACAGGCAAACATTACCCAAATATAGACGTTTATTCATATGAAAAATGCGTGATAATAATGACTAACAATTAAGGGGTTCGAATGTCAGGTATGCCAATTTTTCAGTGTCGAGCTTGAGCATCTCATGATTAATCATCGACATCGCGTATACTGCTGCGGAGGAGGCAGTGTCGTATATTTTATATAGAGAATAATACATGGGTGCTTAGAATGGGTGCTTGGAAATACCAGATTTATTTCTCGTGTTGAACATGATATCTCACGAGTGAGCGCACTTTGAAAAGCGATAATTTTTACAGAAAAGCGATAATTGAAAAGCGAGAGATGGTGAGATTATCACTTTTATCGGTGCTCGAAATCCCTATAAAGCATTGTACTTTATATAATAAATAGAGAATAATACATGGGTGTGCGGAAATAGCAGAGTTATTTCGAGTGTTGAACATGATATCTTACGAGTGACCGCAGCGAACGAGTGAGATATCAGTCATGTTCAATACGAGAAATAAATACGGTATTTCCAAGCACCCATGTATTTTTCTGTTTATTATATAAACAAAATTCAGTGAAAAACAATAAAACGTCCGTGGCAATGCATTTCACAACAAATGATATTTTTACAGTAAAAATATCGTATTTTTAAAATACGATGTGTTTAAATACGATTTTATATAGTATAGAGAGTGAGATACTGAAAAATACTCGGTGCGATATATATTTTCCATATCTCCACTAGTGAAGATATAGATCGCGTGACTTTTACCAATTTGCTTTTGAGTGTGAAATTTCACAATTTTTTGCTTTGGAGTTGGGACTCAATAAACTTACACAATAACATTACACGGTGGCTTAAAGATGACTTTTCTCTTCTCGTGTTAAAAACTCGAAGATAAAAGTCATATCTTCGCGCCGCCGTGTAATATCCTCTATATATATGCAGGCTTTCTGGCATCCTTGTGTAGAAAAGTAGAATAAAAGTAGGACTAAAATTTTAGGAAAAGTAGGAATAAAGTAGGAAAATGTGTAGAAAAGTATGACAAAAGTAGATTAGAAGTTTTTTGAGATGCAAATAACACAAAAATGTACAACATTGGCACCTTAGATATGCATTTGAATTGTGTTGCTGCAGAGCAGATGCCTTAGCTTTTATACCGCTGCAATTTAAAAGTTTTGAGGAAAAAATCCTGCACAGATGAATGAGTACAAAAAAAATATTGAGCACCAAAAATTCACACAACTCCACATCTAATTGTCCACCCCTTACCACATATATTATGCGTGCGAGTGCATGTATTTGGCTGCACCATACACCAATCTACACTGTGCGGTAGGAGCATATGATGCTTGATTAACTGGGGGGGGGTGAATATTTGGAATCCCCAGATCGTCGGAAAGGGCACTTTCAGCCGAATTAATTTATTGATTATGATTCTAGAGATGCTATGGAATTTTATACTCGGAAAATGTACTTCTTCTCTTCCCGAGATCTTATCATCTGGGACACAAATAGGGAATAAAAAATAAAAATTACGAGTCCTATACTCTATAGATTTAATTACGAGAACAATAACATACTGATTCGCCAAACTGTCTTAAAAAAAGTAGGATTTTATGAGAAAAAGAAGGAAAAAGTAGGAAAATCAAGCAATTTTTAATAAAAAAATTGGAAAAGTAGGAAAGTTGAAGAAAAGTAGGAAAAAGTAGGAAAAGTAGGATGGCAAGAAAGCCTGTATATGCTAAGTAAAAACGGCAACAATTTTCTTATTCATATTTTCTTCGTCACATTACAAGCGACATTATCAGACTAAATACAGTTAAGCTATTTCATCTATTTTATAACAATTTTTATACAATTACAAACTGTTAAAAAGTTAAAATTAGAAATATACAATGTTCATGGTATATTGACATGTACAAGATACTGAGATTAGTGAAAGATCTAGATTAAAAAAGGAATGTTACTATTACTAACATCTTTTAACACTGACACTAACCACTTGACATTCCTTTTTTAATCTACATATATCTTTCACTAATCTCAGTATCTTGTACATGTCAATGGGTCGTTCCAGAAAAGATCCACACTCCCCCACGGAGGAAATTTCTGCCGTCCGGAGGGGGAGGGGAAAGAAAATTGTTTCTGATAATAGTAAATGTATTAGGACATCTGAAGGGGGAGGGGATTAACTTCCAATTTCCTCTGTGGGGGCGGTATAGATGTTTTCTAGAATGACCCAATATACCATGAACATTGTATATTTCTATTTTTAACTTTTTAACTGTTTGTAATTGTATATCATATATATTGTCAAAATTTGTTATAAAATAGATGAAATAGCTTAATTAACTGTATTTAGTCTGATGATGTCGCTTGTAATGTGACAAAACGTTACTCAATAAATTTATATACCAAATGTTTTTTGAATATGCCTCTTTTACGAGTTATTTGCTGGGCAATAATATATTTTTTTAAACCCCAGTAAAATCTATATTCTAGGGGTGGAGCACTAGAGCCGGGAGGGGAGGTGGGTCTAGAAAGCAGAAAACAAAGTATCCCAGGAAAAATTTGGAAAAATAATGATTTCTAGCTTTGAAAAAAGTTTTTTGAAGTCGTCAATTTGTCATATCAATGGATTTGGCACGTCCGATTGTCTGTTGAGACTTGAAAGAGTTAAAGACTTAAAGTTAAATGAACCTGTAAAAGTGTAAACCCAATAGGCCAATATGCTTTTACTTTTATGAAGTTAATTATTGACATTGTGTTGTTTGAATCCGAGTACAATTTATGATGCAACTCTGATGTAAATAATATTTGGGTTGTAAAGATTAAATCTATATAGGCAAGTCTATTCCCTTAAAGAATTAAAAACTAAAAATAGTGTTCGTAAAAATTCAAAACGTTCCTTGTGTGCAAGCTATCTGCATGACAAGGCACTGCAAACAACACAAGCAATTTAACTGGGTTATACCACAGTCCACTGTTATTAGCATGGCTGGTTGGGACTCACTTGGGAGACTTAATGAAACAAAATATATAGAGAATAATACATGCATGGGTGCATGGAAATACTGCACCGGATTTATTTCGAGTGTTGAACATGATATTTCACGAAAAGTTAAACTGACTTGTACCCTACCTAGATTTTCTCAAGAAGAAATCAGAAACCCACATTTTTGGTCCCATCAAAGCAGGTGCCACAGTTCACCTGTGTCATGCTAAAGCAAAAGTCATATATATGGCATTTTCTCATTAGTGGCTATAGAAGGTATATCCAATCAAAATGCATGTATATACTGTACTGGCTAAAAATCGCCAAAATCCGACTTACGCCATTTTTGCATTTTGCACCAACAATATGTATATAATAAACATTGCTATGGGTTGTGCGGGGGAAAATACAATACACACGTGTGAAGATGGGACCAAATTATTGCATAAACCTAAACCAACATAGTTAATGACATCTTTGTTTAACATAAATAATTTAATTAATCTGTATTCTTATTTTAGCCCAATCCAACTGAACAAGGAGTTTTAAAAGATGCAAACCCACAAACTACACTGATGGTGAAGCCAAAAAACACCGTGAATAAAAAACAAAAAGTAAGTATTCCTTTGATATTTTAGTAAAATCACACGTAACATATCTGAATGTGGACTTTCAAATACCTTATTATAGTAAATTAACGATGCACTTTATTAACGCGAGATAAATTAACCTGTCATCTAATTAATGCGAATTACTTTCAGGTACTTCTAAAACTGATTAAATTAACGCGAATACGACAGTTTGACATATGATATACATAAATGTGACCTCAATCCTACCATAACTCCATAAGTAGGTGCTTGTGTGGTGTATTTCTGAATGAAAACTGAAGTGAAAATTGTCGTTTTTTGATATATGAGAAATAATCTTCCTGTGAGATTGCCTCTTGGTCATTATTATAACTGACCTTGCAATTTGCTAAACAAAAAGGTGATTGCTACTCATCGAGAAAGTGCTAAATATTAGGTCATTTTCTCGGAAATTAATGCACTAGTCAACTGAAACCCGGATCCCTGGGCATATGCTGGGTTTTAGCTTACACGACTTTGTGAGGAACATACAGAGGTTTTAGTACTTGGGGTTTTATAGTAACTCTGATAAAAACAAAAGGTACATAAAAAATTAACGAGGATCGAACTCGTTATGTACTGCATATAGTATACACGCTATACACAATGCCCCGTTTGCACCAGGGACCTGGCAACGAGTCGCATTATGCATAAAGTATAATATACAATACTTGAAGTAACAGGCCTAGCAAGTTCCTACAATACACAACACGCTATGGATAATATCTCGATTGCGCGAGCTCGGGACCTGGAAATGAGTCCATCAAAATGAGGTTGGTAGGTCAGATGCCATATTGTCATCCTCCTCCCCAGCCCCAAGCTGGTGCGGCCCTCACAGTGGCCTTGGTTCAGGCTGATTGTGCAAGCAGAACAAAATGCTGCCATTCACTTTGTCAATCAAGTACTTGATAAATACTAAATTTTCGTAAGATTACATTATAAATCAAACTCTTCAAATTATCAAATACAATTTATAAAATTGCGTTGATTCAAACAGATAGGTAGAGGGGGACAATTTACACAATAATCTTGTCGACGTTGCATACACAAGATATACATTTCTACAGTCGTGCATGAAGTGTGACTGATATCTGAGTCTTGAATACTCATAATACTGCAGTTTATAGTATCACATGCAATATCACTAAAAAAGTTCACAAATTCAGAAACGATTCTATTACTCTAAGTAAACGATATTAAATCATTTGATGCCACAGATTTTTAAAACTCTGAGCTTAGTAATACTTTTATTTTTTCTCTAACATGAAAATGCATTCTTGTTATTAGCCCAATCCAACTGAGCCAACAGATTTAAAGGATGCTAAACCACAAACTGCGCAGAAGGCGAAGCCAAAGAACGACAAGAATAAGAAACAAAAAGTAAGCGCGTAGTGTGTACGGAAAAGTCCTTGAATTGGAAGAAAAAATTCCAGGACTGGAAAGTCCTTGACAATCAGCAGAAGTTCTTGAAAGTCCTGGAATAAATTTCCTAACCCTCCACCTGTGTCAACATTAGTGATTTTGATTAAAATTACTGAATAAAGTTCAATTATTTGCTGGCCAAATCCGTGCCATTTTCAAAGATTTTTCCCACTTCTAGCTTCTTGAATTTACTGAAAAAAAGCCTTGAAAGTCCTGGAAAATCCTTGAATTTCACTTTTACCAAAGGGTGGACACCTTGTAATTATTGAGTGCAGCTAAAAACTTTTTTTTGAATCTGTAGATTATCCAAATCGAAGCAGAGGAAACCCCACAACAGAACTACGCTCCAGAACTGAACGCCGTTGAACCCACCACGTCAACCCAACCTGGCACTCTAAATTTTCTAGATACCGTAGATCAAATTAGGGTTCAGAAAATTCTAGACTGCTTCAAATCCCACGAAGTTAAGGAAGTGGAGACTCAGACTTCATTTGAACCTGAAAGACTACGGCCAATTGTGGAAAAATCGGTTCAAACAGAACATGCTAACTATTCGTGCAACTGCAGTTCGACAATAGCGAAGCATTTTGAAGAACTGAATAAAAAGCTTGACTTATTCATTGCTAAGCAAGAACCATACACCCTACTGACCACACCAAACGAGCCAAAGTTTGAGTTCAATAACGATGAGTGCGAATATGCTGGATCTGTATCACCCTCGCCAACATTTGAACTCCAAGGTGGAGACGTGTTCAAAAAGCAGCAGGAACGACAACAAAAATACAACGGCAACAACCAAGAGGCACTTACCACCATCAATTTGGCTGAATGTAGCTTGCCAGGAATGCTGTAGATCACCCCATCACCACCACCATCTACACGTCCTTTAACCAATGATATTCGACCTGCGATTTTCGAAGAAACTTACAAGGAGAGTTCTTCCATGTCTAATTTCGCTAAGAACCTCGTTTTCAAACTCTTTAACTCGCAAGAGTTGCAGGGGAGTAATTGCTCTGGAATGAAAGGTAAGAAGTCCTTAGAGAAAGATCACAGGATGAGCCTGATAAAGGAAGCGGTCTTCAAAAAATACCTTGTGGAGGATCAAAAAAAGTCATGGGCGATGTGTAGAAAAGCTATCGATTCTGCGATACGGCATTGCAAACATTTAAACTAGGATGCAAGATAAGGAACGTACTGCATGTATGAAAAAGTCAAACGTTTTCCTTTTATTGACCATTTGTAGAATTAGATTAGCATAGTGGGTACGATAATCGCTACATATAGCTACTTACACATTACGTAAGTTTGTTTCCCTAAAGGCTGATTTCCACTGTTGCGTTTTTCATACGCACGTACAGGCACGTAAAACTTTGAATCCTTCTATTTTTTAAATATTTTACAAATAAGTTAACAAATGCATCCTAAAACTTGCGGAACACTGAATTCTGTTGCTTTATTTATTTGGTTATTCCATAAGTAACATTTAAACGGATTTAAAGTTTTACGTGCGTATACATACGTATGAAAAACGCAACAGTGGAAATCAGCCTTAAGCCTAGTAATTCTGCAAAAATATTCTCATATTTCTTGATTTGTATATTGAAGACAGTAACACTAGTGTGGAGAACACGTATTAGTATTTAAAAATAGAACTTTTCTTCTTGTTAGTTAGTTATTTAGTTAGTTATTATAAATTTAGGATTAATTTCACACGAGTTTTGAAAGTTTTACAAAATTGCGCAAGTCGCGGCAGTGGAGAGCAATTTTGTGAAACTTGAAAACACAAGTGAAATTAAACCTAATTTTTACGTCGACCCCTGCGATTATATGTTAATAATATATAGAGGGTAACATTCCATGTAAATATATTACCATATAAAAATAAGAACATACGAAGTTGTTTAAATTTTGTTCAAACAAACATTAGTACTGAGATGCAAGTAATTTGCCTTGAATTAAGAAAAAAATACACTCCTCATTAGACAATATCATATTCGAATAATTCTAACCTCTGTATTTTTCGACAGCTGATTGCTCTCAAAGGTCTTTTGAAAGTCTTTGAAAATAGGCGGAAAAAATATTTGAAAGTCTACCACTAAAAAGTTATAAATATGCATGTACAGTATGTGGTTGTATAATGACTATAATATCTGCGGTACATTTGTCAGTAGCTAGCTTGTTGTGAGATATTTTAATTTATAAAAAAGCCCACTTTCATAAATGGATTTATTGTAATAATTTCGTGTTTTTAATTTAAATAATTTTGTGTTTTTAATTTAAATCAAGGATCACACAAGGCGAAGTGATTACCGGTGAATATTCACCGAGACGAAGTCGAGGTGAATATTCACCGTAATCACTGAGGCGAGTAATTGTTTTAGAATTTAGTATAAATTTTTAATGAATAAAATAAAATATCCAAATATCAGTTCAATTAAAATTCAGAAATAAAACTGTTTTCGGCCTATTCACGGTTACTGTCACTAACAGTGTTGCAGTGTTTCTGGTACGCACACGCTTTCAAAATGGCTTCTTGTGTGACTTTATTGCTTTATTACAAAGTCAGGGTTCGTACATGTCAGGAAGAGTCAAATTCAAGGCCATGTATCGGCAAATTCAAGGGCTAAGTATCGAGAAGGCGTTAGAAATCAGCATCTGACTTGAATTGTTCAAAACGTAACTTTATAATGAGGTCAGATATGAACATGCAAAATAGTTCAACGAAATGTCCGTCTTGAATGTCAAACAATTTCAGAAAATATCCAAAAACCAAAGCGAGAAGAATTCAAGTACTTTCAAGTACTTCTTTACAAATTCAAGGCCTTGCATTTTTGTTTTCAAATTCAAGGACATTCCATGACTTTCAAGTTTTGTACGAACCCTGCAAAGTTGTTTTTATCGATTTCTGCTAGGGAAGCCTCACATATCGATTTTTTCCACGAGAAACTGACGTCATATGTTCGTTTGGGGGTGGGGGGGGGGGGTTGGCAGCTGTGACGTTTCTCTGTAAACATCATGGAAAAATTCGATAGTTTTTATCTTTGCACAATATAAAAAAGAAAACAATTTGATACAAACAGCAGTCTATATATTCGTAATACCATACCTGTTCTATACCTATACATTTATATTATTATGCCTTCCTTGCATTGAAAACACTCAAATTTCAAGAAAAACGTGCTAAAATGATCAATATTTCATCCAAAAAAGTTGTTTTGAGAAACGTTGGAAATTTTGAAGTTCATATATATATTAATAAAAAAAGAGTATGTCAGCAGAAGATGACATATTCCTCGCGGAAGCATCGCCAATAGCCGACCGAAAAAAATAGTAGAAAATTACCTTATGTGTACTCATAGTGTACTGTAAGAACAAAATATCGATAAATATGTGTGACGTTTCTAAGGGTGTGTGGGGGGGGGGGTCTCCAGAGAAACGAACATATGACGTTTCTCATGGACAAAATCGATATGTGAGGCTTCCCTAACACAATCAATAACGGAATGACTTTTTCAGCAGACTTAGAATTAAAAAATAGTTTCTGTTTAGCAAATTTTTTCAGGAAATGGCTGAGAAATTTGGTAAAATGAAATGTAAAACAATATCGTTCCCTGAGAAAAATCGTATTTAAACACGTAAAAAATACGATATTTTTACGTGTGAAAATATCATTTGTTGTAAAACGCATTGCCACAGACGTTTTATTGTTTTTCACTGAATTTTGTTTATATGATAAACAGAAAAATACATGGGAGCTTGGAAATACCAGATTTATTTAAATACCAGAATTATCATGTTCGGCACTCGAAATAAATCTGGTATTTGCGCGCCCATGTATTAATCTCTATTTATAGTACAGTACACCTTGCTCGAAATTTTAAGGGATATGGATTTTTCAGAAAGCCGTGTAACACGGAATACGGACTTTCTGAAAATATGTATACAAATCGTCCATCTATAGTACACAGCAAACATCTACAAAATATTTATAGACATTCAAGTCTCAAGCCACCATTGTGTTTTTATTAGCCTGCAAACAGGGAGGGCTCGACCTAAGGGTCAACAAGCATCACACACACATTAACATAGCCACAACAATGTATCTAGATACAAAAATCTTGTACAAAAATTGCACATTTAATGCCTTAAATAACCTTGCAAATAGCATGCATGCAGTTTTAGAATTCAATTTATTGACAAAACCTATTATTTAAAAAAGTAATGTAACTTTCTACTTGTAATTGATATTTTGTCACTGTGCCATCAGTAGTACTTTGTTGTGGACCACCTTCACTTGCTACTATGGCTGGTAAAACTTTATGAACGCCACGTATGTAGTTTCTGCATGTTTCAATGGTGAGTTGGCTCCAGAACTCTTTAATTCCTGCAACAAGCTCTTCTTTATTCTTCGGTTTAACATATTTCCTGATGTGATGCTTTAAGGCTGCCCACAAGTTTTCAATGCAGTTCAAGTCCTGTGAGATACAAAAGTAAATTTCAATCCTTCATAAAAGCTAAAAATACAAGTTAAAAAATAAATAGAGGCCAATTTGGGGGGGGGGGAATTTGAATATTACATCATGCATCACCCTGGATGCCAAAGTCTCTAAGGTTTATTGGAGCGTGAGGCTGTGAGCAACCTTGTACCCACATTGTATGCGCTTATAGTGTGTTTCATAAGGCCTAGGATAATCCATCTCAAAAGGTGATTTCAAATGATCGGTTGGTGGAAATACAATACATTTTAAATCTCCCCCCCCCCCCCTGTCGACAACTTTGACAATTTCCGACAACATTGACAATTTTCCGACAACATTGACAATTTTCTGGTCTCACACTGGGTGTATGTATCACAGAATACCACACAAATTTATATGTTCCATATCTTTTGTGAAATGTATATAATATAGCCTGTTAAGTATTTTTTTTAGTATAGTTTTTCACTATTTTTTTCTTCCTGTGAGGTCTTGGGGTTAGATTTGGCATATTCTATTATTTTTAAATCAGACATTCTGTGCATAAAATCCTAATGTACCACAGAATACCAGTGTGGCAATAAATAAGGAATGGTTTATCAAATTGTACAGTATGAGGAGTTGACCCATTAAGCGCCAGCGCTCTCCCCTTGACGAGTAAAATCGTCTGGCGTTAGACAGAGTAAAATACTCTGGCGTTAGATAGAGTAAAATACTAAAGTAGGGTGCATCAGGGTTCAATGCGACTCAATGGGTTAATTTATTCCTCCTACCTAGGTACCCAGTGGCCATTGTCTGATGGCAAGTGAAATTTATTCACGGCAACTACTGTAATAACAGACTCTAATATAGCACAACTTACTGGTGACTCAGGTGGTGCTTTCCAATGGTTAATTCCGTTTCGTATAAACCAATCTTTTGTAGAATTACTTGTGTACTTTGGGTCATTGTCCTGCCATAATCTATGGCCATCAGGGTAGGTCTTTTTGATAAATGGAAGTAAATTTCTTTCCAGGATATTTTGATACCCAATGCTTTCCATAATTCCAGTAAAAATGCAAACAGAAGTTGCACCTCGATTTGAAATTCCTCCCCATACATGCACCTATAATTTAAAGAACAAATACTGCACGGTTATTATATGGTTCAATGGCATATATTGGGTATAAATATGGCATGGGTTTATTGAAAGACAATGTCATATTGAAAGACAATGTCAATGTTGAGTAACGTAGTGGGCTACTGGGCCTATATATTTGGGGGACTTATATTGGGGGGGGCTTATATTTGGAATGAGGTGAGCATTAGTACATGTGGTGGGCTTATATTCAGGGGGGGGGCTTATATTCGGGGGGCTTATATTCGGAGGTTTACGGTATTTACTTGCCTACTTTGATTGTATGTGATCGTCTTTCATATTTTCTGGGCGACTTTACACTCTGTGCCTGCGACTGTCAACATAGGTGATAGTAATGATGACAGTCGCAGGCACAGAGTGTAAAGTCGCCCAGAAGTAAAAGACGATCACATACAATCAAAGTAAAGGCAAGTAAATATCATTTTAAAATATAAAATTCATCACAAATTTTACTGTGTAGTATATTCTATAATTATATATTTATTATATACTGATACCCGTCTGGGCCCCTTTGGCCTGGCAGTGAACTGTATTGGTATTCTCTGCCTGCATGGCAGTAACCTGAAATTCAGGCCCTAATTTGAAATAGGGCCTGACACAAAACCTATCTAAACCGTGGGATTCCCGTCCATCTGGTGGACGGGAAATCTGATTGGTTGATCAGCATCATGAAAGATTTTGATTGGTTGCAAGTTCACATAAACAATATTTTATAAATAGCTCGGTCAATGTGACAAGGTCAAACGATCCAATTCCATTGTGATTATCGTAATAGTATTGTCGAATTTCTTCGAATTTCTTTTGTTTAATATGCTTTATGGCAGAAAATAAATCAAACACACAGTATTTTGAAAGGGCTTTATCAAAATCTTTCACTTTGACGAAGTTTGGACACACGACGCTGAAAGAACAGCAAAAGTCGTGCATTCGAAAGCTTGTTGTTGACAGCCAAGGCCCAAGATGTCTTTGCCATTCTGCCAACTGGCTTCGGTGAAAGTCTTATTATCAGGTCCTATCGGCGTTGAATATCTGAGCTATATTGCGGAAAGTAGATCGGAGAGAACAAAACTATTTGAATTCAGTCCTTGCGCAGAACTGACTAAATCTTTGTTTGCTGGTCGGTTAGATTAATAAATAGAGAAACTGAACTCTTAAAAGTACCTTGAATTTTTATGTTTAAAAAGCAAAATGCACACTCTGCGAACATTTTCATGAGAATATAAAAACAAATAATCCAACATGAAATGAATATCTTTATATTTTTCGTATTTATTTTCGTGCAATAAAATCTACAACACTTGTCAATCATATTGTATGACTGTGTCTAAAAATAACATGTGGGCGTCCACGGTTTAGACAGGTTTTGTGTCAGGCCCTATTCTAAATTAGGGCCTGAATTTCAGGTTAGCATGGCAGTGACCTGTATTTCTTCATATTGACACAGGCCAGTATATTTCTTGCATTCAGAGGGGTAGGGAAATAACTAAATGATCCATGCTACATAATATACTTTTATATTTGAAAAATGTTTACATACCTTCAGACGGTGCTTCGGGCGTCCTTTTCGTTTGGGTTGACTGCCATCTTTTCGGAAGCATATCCTGGCATACTGTTCAATTTGAACAATTGTCTCGTCGGTAAATATCACGTCTTCAAACGTGTCCTTGTTGAGCAAAGCATTGGAAGCGAATATAAATCTTTTCATCTTATTTGGTTCGCGGACAAATTGGCAATAACGAGCAGTTTCGCTTTTCCAAACAAGTACATTTCGTTTGACCCCACGAACAGTGGTTGCGGACACTTCGACATGGCATTCCTTCGACAATTTTTCTGTCAACTCTGCCGATGTAAGCTCGTCGTTTTCTTTCATTCTATCGTCAATGAATTTGACATGGTCATTGCTTAATTTTGTTTTTCTGCCACTTCTCTTCGCATCTTGAATGCTGCCAGTTCGTCGATATCGAGACAGAAAAGAGCTCACTGCTGATCTCGAAGCTTTTATTCCTTCCCCTTGCAGTAATTTTGTCATCTTAGTTACGCTTTCTCCTGAGGAATACAGGTTAATAACTCTCTCTCGAGCATACGCGGACAATTTCGGCATTTTAAAACAAAAATTTGTCTCGAAATTTGTAAGCGACCGACAACTTCGAAAAATCAAAATAGACGCTTAATCGAAAATTCTGAAACGATCGTTAATTTCCGATTACGGGACGAACAAATTGCGGTGCTGTCTCGCCAACGGTCGACCGCGGTTTTTGTTTCGGTTAAACGCGGTCAAAACTTTGTCAACCTCGGTTAAACCTCGGTCAGACCTCACTCAAACCGCGGTTAACGTCGGTCAAACCGAGGTCTGACCTCGGTCTGACCTAGGTTTCACCGAGGTTTGAACGAGGTTTGACCGAGGTTGGACCTAGGTCTGACCTAGGTTAACCGCGGTTTTTGTTAGGTTATTTCTGGACAGTACTGTATATGTATCGTACTGAATATTCTTGTTCGTGCTTGTTATTGACCATAATTTGTTGATGTCTTCGTTTATAGACGCTTTTAAACTTAAACGAGAAACAGTTTGGCATTGGATAAATTTCGTCGAAGACAAAATGATATTCAAACCAAATTTGTTTTGGGGAAGATACACATTGGTAAGGGTTGCAGATATAGGAATTCCAGCCATTTTCGAATATATTTAGTAGCAACGTTAGATAAAGTTTCGCAAATCCAGGTTTTAAATATATCGGTTATTGTTAAGTTCCATGAGATTTTTGAGAGTAAGTAGAACTATATATAAAGAAGAATTTTTATTTCGGCGGTGTAAAGGTAATTTATATTACCGATATAATATCATTAAACAGATCACACAATTCGGAGTTGTGTCTTTCATCGGACATGTTGAAATCGAAATAACGACCAAGATGGCGGAAAGATTCTCCGAGTTCGATACGAGGTATAAGTTGGTTATTAACGAACAGCTTAAGTTGGTACTGGATAGACTTAGATTAGCGTTTTTAATTCCAAATGAAGAGCACTTGTCAACACGTATTATTATATTGGCCCTTTGACACCATACTGTGAAACGATTAACGAGATTTTGATTTCCATTTTCTTGGCTACCGATGGCAAACGCGTCGTCTTCGAGTTGAAACCAAGGAATAGGGTTGCACAGAATAACATTTTTATTCAATTTCCAAAAGCCAAGCTGCGCGTATTTCTCAGATTTTATGTGCTGAACGAATGTGTTAAAGGACATATTGAATAAGAGAGGACTGAGACAGTCACCTAGTAAAACGCCACGTCCGATTGTGATAAAAAGAGTACTGAACTGTTCTGTTATAATGGATGTTTGGACGTTTGTATAAAGACTTCGTATTAGGTTGTTTATTTGACCTGGGATGTGATGATACTGAAGGACTTCGTGGATGAGAGATTATGATGGAGTTCACCAGAAGCATTCTTAAGATCAAGCAAAGTAATTACAACAGATCTTTGTTTTATACTGCGCCGTATGAGCAGTGTGTTCAAGAGTTCCTGCAACGTTAGGAGTAAAACCACTCTGGATGTTATGTTCTATGTAATTGTTTTCAGCTAGAACGTGAATATTTTATAACGAAGACATGATGTAAATACTTTGAGTGTGACAAATTCTAGAGTTATTGGTCTGAAATTAAATTAGCGGGATTGTCAGTATCTTCTCAGTATCTTTGTCAGTATCTTTTATAATAATGTAAACACATTTTATTTCATTTCATACAAATGTTAGTAACCAGCTCTCACTAAAGTATTATAGGCAACCTGGCTACATTATGGTACAAAAGATTAAGAAAAGAATACCATGTTAAACTAAGCTTAAAATATTTACAAATCATCAAAATGGAATTTCTACAGAAATACTATTACAATGGTTATTTTAAAATACGTTCGTATCATTCAAATAAGATAACTGTACATACACATGACAGCATGAATCCTACCAATATAAAAGTTCAGGGCAAGACCATTGTCTGTTTCTAGAGCAAAATATATAATAACTTGTCCTTATGCAGCAGCCGGTTAGTTTTCTAATGA